ATTGAGTTGCTCACAGAATCACAGATTCATTCAGAGATCTATCTTTCTGCCATCAGCTACCTGAATTTACACTGAAAAACAGAAGCTTCAGTCCTAAGGAAGGTTCAGCTCTGCTTTTAGATTAGCTAGAAAGCAAGAAATTCAACAATTTCCTGCTTTCTAGCTAATCTAAATCTCCCGGCACAGCAGAAAAAGCTGATGGTCGGGGGGGGGGGGGGGGGAAAAAAGCAACTTAGCAGGCAAGTTTGATGGCGCACATGCCAGGTAAGGAGTGGGAGGGGCCAGCCAGTGACATGATTTGCCGGTTCTCCAGCAGATAGAATCCCACCTCTGGTGAGAATATGTTTTAGGCGCATGTGTAGATCATTTCCCAAAAGCCTTAGCTGTGCCTCCCAGATAGCTGATAAGCGCTGCGTGCAGGTGCGTAGCATTTCAAACTCGTCTTTCCTGCTTCTTCAACCTCAGCTGTGCTACGCAAAGTAGCTGAGGTTGAAAAAGCAGGAAATAAAGGACATCCATGAGCCCCAGCAGGCGGCCAAACAGAGCAGCAGACACCGAATTTTCAGAGCTACCGGTTCTATAGAACCGGGCCAAACCGGTAGCATCCCACTACTCCTGGATGCATCTGACCAACAGGCCATGAGTTTGACACCCCTGATCTTATTCCTTCAGCATTCCATAATTATGCTGTATTTATGTTAATTTAAGTCAGGAATAGGATACAATATTATATATCTTTGTAACATGGGTCTCACAGGGTGTGTATGCTTATGTGTTGAAATCTGCAAGAAAGAAGGTGTGGCAGTGTTGCTGCACATACAAAAAAGGACAGGACTTTGATTGTGATATTGTGCCCACATTTTTGTAGATTTTGATCCCTTCCCAAAGATGCTGTTGGTTGGTAACCATTTACAGCAGGACATTTTGCTCCAAATTTGCACTGCTCCTTTTCCAACAAGCAATATCAGCACTAGAATTGGAGGAAAAGTACATTCTCACCCTCCCCTTTTCTACTGATGAAGGATATGAGCATTAAAAACATTAATCTCTCTGACTCAGTAACTAGGGGTTAGGATTTCTTCCTTTTCCAGTTAAAAATATTTTTGGTTGGAAGGCTTGGAAAACACTGTATCCAAAACATAACAATCCTTTGAACCAAAATAAGTAAAAACAGATCTTTATTTGTAGGGGGGGCAGGGGAAGTCTACCTTAGATTCTTTAAGGAGAAGCAGAAATATCCGTGTACCTTTTCCTGAACTCGATATGAGTCTTTCTCTATTCATATCCATTTCTAAGTGGTGGGGGACTCTGAAAACTGCCTAACATAAGGTTGGTAAGGAGGGTTAAGAGAATTGGAGATGTCATTATATATGTGCTGTGGAACAATTCCAAGAAGTCAGATTCTGATTGATAGAAAAACCTTCCAAAAGTGGAACCAATCATTCAGAGGGATCGTCACCTTAAACTGGCTGTATCCAAATAAAAACTACAAGGCCCTTTTTAAAGATGCTTTTTCTCTGATTGCTGCCTTGAGCACAGTATTGGACATAGCGAACTAACTAGTCCTTCCAGCTATAGGGTTTGAACATTCAGGGAGTAACACCTAGTACAAGTATCCTTGGTTTCTAAATTAGGCTTAATCCCTTACCTGCTTCTCTTAGACATTGTAAGCATAGTTATTTCGTCTTATGTCTGTTTTCTGTTTATTACTCTTTCTTTTTATTCTGAATATCTATATTTAATTTTTGTAAAGCACATGAAAACTAATGCAAACCAAAGGACAATTTATCATAAATAAGATAGTGGCAACTGAATGCACTGGGTTATGCTGGTATTTTCCCACATAGGGACATGAAATGTTCTCACACAAGCACATAAAATTATACATGTCTTTAAATATTCAATGCATAATTAGTGAACATGTCTTATACATGTTATATATTTATTGTCAGAAACTTTAGCCCAAGCAGACAGGAAACATCAGTTCATAAGAGTTATAATAAGTAGTTGGGTTTGGAGATCTCTTTTAACATGGCTTATATACGGTGTAATTTTTCATCACAGGCCTGAACTTGTTTCTTTACATAACACACATTCCCTTTATTTCTTCTAAGAGAAATTCTATCTTCTGGGATTATAGGATTCTTTAATGGCTGCCAGAAAATACCCTAGATCAGAGGAATGCAAGAATGATCAGACCAGGTCTAGATGCCACCCAACAGATTGATGGCCTTGTGCAGTCCACAGCCTCTTGGCTGCCTATCACAAAAATCTAATCTCTGTGTGTTTTCAAATAAAATATGCCACAGTATTCTTCAGTTTCAAAGTGAAGCCTCTAGCCAGCAACGATGCCATTATTTGATGTCAATGCCATTAAATGGTCATAACAACGAATCTTGTTTGAAGTGTTTCTCATCAGTACCAAATATTTAATGAGTGATACATTGCTTTCATCTCTGCAATTTATTCAGATCTCAATGGATAAAAACATATCTTAAAAGATTAAAGAGTACCTCTAGCATCAAATATGATTGGCTGACAGTTTTGATTGGAATTCCAGTTACACTTCAGCACCTGGCCTCCTTCTACAATTTCAGGCTGAGTAGTGTTGGCCTTTGGAGCACCCACAAGGAGAAACATCCTGCAGGGAGAAACAATGAATGAGAAATCTGAATATTTTACTTGAAGTAGGCTAATCTGAGGTATGAATTAGTACAGGGCTGTTAAACTCCCGGCCTACAGGCCGGATGCATCATGCGCTGGCCACACACCTGGTTTAGCAAAGGGGGAAAAAGTCCCGATACATCACATGACGCCGCCGTGACATGAGTTTGACACCCCTGCCTAATAGGTACCTCATGTAAATGCAATAATAATAGTAAAAAGAGGAGGAAAGCAAATGTAATGAAAGGGCCAAAACACTAAAGAACATTTTATAAGAGGAAATAAAGAAGGACTTAGCATTTCTAACTACCTATTTTCCTCCATTTAAGCAGATCTGCTGCCTGCATGACTTCACCTCCAGTTGATGTATTTCTAGCATGTCACTGTAATTCACCAGCTGCATCTGAAAACCCAGCCCAATAGAGATTTGTTAAGTATCCTGTTTAGATGCTCAGATAAATTACATATCACTATTTTCCTTGATTTTCTCGGGAAAAGGCTTGTGATATTCGTTTGATTGGGACCCTCATGGGCAGAGAAGGAGGCTCTGATTGCTTTTTTAGCCTCCTGCTTTTATTTTCCTCTCCTGAGGATTTTGGATATACCAGAACTTCACTTTTACCCCAAAAGACTTTCCATGCCACCATAAGTATGACATCAAGAAGTAGGAATTAGTAGTTGTTGGAAAACATAAGCTTGCCTTTTATACTACGCCTTCCCCCAACCTGTGAAAAACATGACCCCCCCAAAAGAGAACAAAGATGAAACGAGAATTGTAGGCTTTATAGGACAAAGAATACTTGTCAACCATTTCAGATGCTACATGCAATTTTTTTTTAAAAAAAGTATGCAGATCACGCCCTATAAACTGGAAGCTAGAATACCTAATTAACTGCATCTGACCTTAATACCTTACTAAGTAATAAATGGCTAGGATCTGGGAGGTATGTGAAACTGCTTTGTTTATTGACCACATGCTAAAGGTTGAGATGTAAGTATAAACAGGTATAGTATAAAGCCCCTCTTCCTTTTACATGGTATCTTAAAATCCTAAGTGATTGATCTCTCTACTATAACATTTGGCTCAGTTGTGACATTCAGTACTTATATGCCTTCCAAACAAATGGAAATTAATTCCCAAAAGTCGTAGTACTAGCCAGGCTACCTAGGAAATATTAGCAGCTCAAATTGGCTCCATGTTCCTGAAGACAGCAATTTAATAAAATAAAATTGAGCTGCAACACTGTGAAAGAAAAGAGGCACCAAGGAGAATTTTACCTTGATTGCTAGGCCATTTGGAAAAACAAAATATTTCCTTCAGACATACTTGAGTAAGCTACTGGTATTATCTTAAGTAGTTTTGTAGCCTCATGAAAACTAAATTTTATTGAATTTGACATATTAAAGTTGTCTAGCCCATCCAGAAAATTACACTTAAACTTGAACAAAAATAAAATTACTAGCAACTATTAGCTTAAACCATGCTTTTTATGTTAATGTAAAGCTTATCTGGTATTTCCCCTCTCAAATATTGTAAAACATTAGGTATATTTTCCTTAATTCACAATGCTATTGTCCACAATATTCCATAGAAATAGTCCAGCCATTAACTCATATATAATTTTAATATTTAGGACTCTTAATGTATGGACTGGACAGCTGCATGCTGAGGCTGTGGGATAAATTAAGAGATTGTGGTATATATCAATATAAGAGGACTATATATCCAACAAGAATAAGGGTTCTTTTTTCTTGCCTTTTTTCAAGAATCTGAGAAAGATATTTCACGGATATAATTTCTGTTACTGTTTTTGAAAATGGCATCCACATCTGTGCTACTACCAAATGCTCATTAGTACTATTTTTTTCTTTACTATATTTTATTTTAAGGCATGTTTATTCATTCCTTAGGAACACAGATTTTAAATATATGTCTATTCCTCACTATTTCAGAATGAATTTTTAAAGAGTTTTGAAAAGCTAAGTTTCTTCTTCTATGAACTTAGAATAATGATATTATAAATTAGTGTTTCTTAAATGTTTTTGTCTCAGGACTACTTTCCACTGTTAAAAATTATGGAGAACCCCCAAAGAGCTTATGCATTATATTTTTCATATTATAAATTAAAACTAATGCATTGGCTGCTGCTACCATTTCTCACTAATTTTTGATAGGATTTTAATATTGCATTATTTCTCAACATAGGGTACAACGTAATTTTGATTTTGAGGAACAGCAAGAGAGTCTTGGGAAATCTCCAGGGTCGTAGGATCATACTTTAAGAAACAATGTCCTAAAAATGATGAATATAAAAAACTGAAAACTTGGCTTCTATGTGTGCAACTAGCAGAAGAATTTCAGTCATGTGTGCATCTTGCTTCTTTGGATTACTGCCTTATCTTAAATCTTGATTACTACATTTTTTAAATCTCTTGGTTGAAAAAGGGGGTTGGTACTTACCTGATACGCCCGTTCTCTGTGAGCTGTGAAGAGCATCCAGAAGTGGGAGGTGCTTCAGTCTCTTCTGGAAAGGCTGGGCTTAAAACTCCGGGATGCTTCTCCTCCTCCACGGGACACCACCTCAGCGTCCCCCAGTTTTGCAAAGACTGAGTGCCAAAGTCTGGGACTCATCACCTAATCTAGATCCCTGACTGGAACGGAACCCCACCAGATGGAAAGAAATGGGTGGGGCTGGATGCTCTTCACAGATCACAAGAATGGGCGTATCAGGTAAGTACCAACGCCCTTTCTCCAATGAGCTGTTCAGAGCATCCAGAAGTGGCACATACCAAAGCTTGGCCTGTCCTTAGGGAGGGACTCCGTCTGGATTGAAATCCACTCCTAAACTCTATGGACCCTCTGCAGGACTCTTCTGCCAAATGAAGTGTCCACTGAGGCATAGACATCAATTTTATAATTTCTGACAAAGGGCGATGGTGAAGCCCAAGTTGCCGCTCTGCAAATTTTGTCTATGGAAGCCCGAGTGGCCCATGCTGCTGATGTTGCCGCACTCCTTGTTGAGTGGGCTGTAATGCCCTTAGGAACTGAGATGGACTGGCATTCGTAACTTTTAGCTATGCTGGCTCTCAACCATCTACCAATGGTCATCGACAACACCCTGTGTCCTAAAGTGGATGGGTTGAAGGATAGGAATAGAGCCTCAGATTTTCAAAATGCCACCGTCTAGATAGATGCTTAACACCCTTCAAATGTCAAGTCGATGCCATGGATGCTCCAGTCTATGAGATGGTTTCGTACAAAAATTTCGTACAAAAAGCATCAACTCCTGCGCTCTGTGGAAAACTGAATTGACTTTAGGGATGAACAATGGATCCAACCTGAGAACCACTCTGTCCACATGAAACACGCACAGGTCCTTTCTCATCGACAATGCTATCAACTCGGAAATCCTCCTTGCTGATGTGATCACAATTAAGAAGACCACCTTATATGTCAGGAATTTAAGACTAGCAGTTCTTAAAGGCTCGAACGGGCCAGTTGTAAGTGCGGTTAACATCTTGTTGAGCTCCCAAGTGGGATAGCGGTGAATTACAAGAGGTCGTTAAGTTTGCAGCACCCTTAAGAAAGCTGCGGACATGTGGATGGTGCGCTATGGAACAAAGGTCACCCCAGGATATCACCAAGGCTAAGCCTGCCATCTGTCTGCATAAAGTATTTGGAGATAGGCCCTTGGTCAACCCCTCCTATAAAAAGTCCAATAATTATCCTATTGATGGGGCAGTTGGGTCGATCTTAGGCCCCTGGCACCAGCGACAGAAAGCGGAGGTGGCCTCGTATATACGATTTGTAGTGGACCGTCTGGATGCTTGTATGGTGGCAATGGCATCCTCTAAAATCTATTGCGTCCTTAAACGGTTCCGCTCAACATTCATACGGTTTGGCTGAGCCATTGTGGGTCCAGGTGAAGTATCGGCCCTTGCGAGAGGGAAACCCTCGATGGTGGAATTTTCCAAGGTTGTTCTCTCGACAGATCCTGTAAGTCCGCGAACCACGTTCACCTGGGCCAGTATGGGGCAACCAATATCAGTTCCGCTCGTTCCTCCAATAACTTCTGAATCAACCTGGGTATTACAGGGAGTGGAGGAAACGCATATAGAAGTCCGGGAGGCCACTGACATTGCAGAGCGTTGACGGCCTCCGCCCCCTGAGTCGGGTACCCTGAAATATACCGGGGCAATTGGGTGTTGAGGGGAGAGGCAAATAGATCGAACACTGGTTGCCCAAACCTCTGCACTGCTTACTGGAAGAGAAATGGGTGTAGGCGCCACTCTGCCTGATCCCCTGCTGAGCCAGTCCGCTTGTGTGTTTAAGGCCCCTGATATGTGCCGGATTAGAAGTGAGCTCCCCATCCTACCAGGCTGGCATCGGTTGTGATCCTTGCCCTGCAAGGTTCCTTGGAAGGACACCCCTTGTTTATCGTGTTTTCAGACCACCAGCGGAATGATCGGAGAACATTGTGCAGTACCTTTATCCGATGTTGGAAGTGGCTCTTCTGGATCGCTGGAAAAGTAGCAGGAACCATTGCAGATCTCTAGAATGGAATCGAGCCCAAGGCACAGTGGAAATACCAGAAATCAATTTCCTTAACAGCTGAGACAGAATTGCCAGGGAAACCCTCTTTAAGGCTCTGGTCTCTCTGGCCAAAGACTGGATAATATTCGACCTGTCCTGAGAGAGAAAAACCTTGCCCTCCACTGTATCTATCACTGCCCCTAAATGAACTAACCTAGTTGAAGGGATCAAATGGCTTTTATCCCAACTTATGGAAAAGCCGTGACCTTGAAGGGTCTCCAGAGTAATCTTGGTATCCAAATTTGCTTGATGTCTGGAATATGACAGAATTAAAATATCATCCAGATAACATTGTAAACGAATAGATTTGATCCTGAGGGAGGCAGCCAAAGCTGCTAGGACCTTGGTAAAAGTCCTAGGGGCCGAAGCCAGACCGAATGGTA